GAATCTTTTCCGGTAATTAAAAATAATTTCGAAGCATTTTTGAATTGTTAATGACATTATAATTGAGATTATTTTAAATATATAGTAAATTATCCAAAAAATAATTGTTTGTTGTACAGAAAATTATACTCAATTACAATTACGGATAATTTATATGTTAAAAGAAAGAAGTCATTTTTTTTCATTTCTCGTTTCACGTTAAAATTTAATTATACACATTATATTTCGTTTTTTATATTTATCTCGAATTTAATAAAGCTTATTCATTTAGTTAAATTTCGTTGATTTTAATAAATCGCACCATTAAATCCACTATATATATATATATAGGCAAATTATATTTTCTTGTGAATTTAACTTATTTCGCGATTATTATTTCATGATAGAGAAATATATCGATAATAATTATTGTCAGAGTTTAAGAAATAAAATACAAAAACAGCCGCAAAATTAATTTTTAATCAAATTAAATTTAAAATTTTGAAATAATATTGACATTTTTGATTAGTAAATTTTCGATTCATTTCATATATATATGAAAATAAATTAAAGTCCTGTCAAAAATATATAGATGTTATCATAAAAATTATTATTAGTTTTTGTTCATATAACAAATCTGATAAGAGTACATATGTCATATAGGGACAATATTTTCGATAAAATGGTTAAAATTTTCACATTGTTATAAAGTATATATCCAATTTAAAAATTCATTTATTCTATCAAGCACAATAAATTATGCATGATAAATTAATTATAAAGAGTCACGACACCCTGAAACTTATAAAAAATCGTATCTTTTGCTTCCTCGTGGAGGAAGCTTTGTACACTGTAAAAAGAAGTATCTTATTTTAAGATGTTTTGGTAGCGTTTTTAAGACATTAAGATGTTTAAGATGTCTTGATGTCTTGAAAACTCTACCAAAACATCTTAAAATAAGATACTTCTTTTTGCAGTGTAGTCCTTTCGTTTATAAAATTTTTAAAAATGGTGAAATGTATGTGTGTATGTGTGTGTGGATATCTTTAACACGATATCTTTAACAGGTTTTAATGGATTTGGATAAAATTTGGTAGCCTTATTTATCACATTAATATCTCAAAAATGACAAGAGGATTTTTAAAAATACCCAAAAAAAAAATTTTATCGTCTTTTTTCCAAAATTTTTTTTTTAATTGAAAAAATTTTTAAATAGAAAAATTTAAGCTAATATATAATATAATTGTCTTCCTTACGTCAAGACGAATCGATTAGTATATATAAAGTATATAGATTTGATTGAAATTTCAAGAATTAATGAAAGTTAAAAAATCAAAAATTTACATTTTAGCTAAAAAATGTTGTGTTTATTTAAATTTCAAGTTTATATATGAAATAATTTTATTCCCTGCATTAAAACAAATTGATTGGTATATATAAAATACAGATTTGATTTAAATTTTAAGAATTAATAAAAATTGAAAAATCAAAAATTCATATTCCCAAATAGCACAACTATTTACAGCAATTTTGCAGCAAGTTTGCAAAATTGCTGCAAATTTGTGGCAAATAGCGATATGTCCTCCCTTTTCCAACTTTGCATTATAAGTTTGCAGGAAAATTTTTCAGAAAGTTTGCAGAAAAATTTCTTTGGTAGTTTGCAGAAAAATTTTTAGGAAGTTTGCAGAAAATTTTTATGTCAAACTTGAAGAAAACTTGCAAAAATTTTTAAATTTTTGAGTTGTAAATATGATAATATTTTGTTACTGGATAACTTTCCTGTGGAAAAGGCCACTAAAATCTATTGCGCAGCCCTAGGTGCCATAGATAACTACTGCGCATGACATGAACTTGAGCAAATAATTAGCAAGTTTTCTTCAAGTTTGACATACAAATTTTCTGCAAACTTCATAAGAAATTTTTCTGCAAACTTCCTAAAAATTTTTCTGCAAACTACCTAAGAAGTTTTTTTGCAAACTTTCTGAAAAATTTTCCTGCAAACTTATAATGCAAAGTTGGAAAAGGGAGAACCAAGGGGATAACATATCGCTATTTGCCACAAATTTGCAGCAATTTTGCAGTGCAATTTTGCAAACTTGGCATTGCAAACTTGCTGCAAAATTGCTGTAAATAGTTGTGCTATTTGGGTTTTAGTTAAAAAAATTGTGTTTTTTAAAATTCAAGTTAATACATAAAATAATTGAATTCCTTGCATTGAAGCGAATCGATTCATATAATATATTATATACATTATATATATTATATATATATATATATATATATATATTATATATATATATTATATATATATATATATATATATATATATATATATATATATATATATATATATATATATATATATATATATATTATATTATATATATTATATATAAAATATATGTGTTACACCCAAAATGAATTATAATTTTCTTAATTTTTCAAAAAATTTAATTAATTTAAATCAGTTTTTAACTAGAAATGTTTGAAATCAATTAATTGAATGAAAAACATTCATAGCTTTCTCCACGAGGAAGCAAATTTTTTGTTTCACACAATGAGGAAGCAAAATGTTTATGAAATAAACATAAAGAACCCCCTCTTTGTTTTTTTTTTTATTATTATTTTATAGATTAACTATAATTTTATTATTTGCAAAAAAATAGACATCCCAAAATTTCTATATCTCCAAATAATTTAACAATATTTTTTTTTATAATTAATACGAAAAAAATATGCCATTGAATTAAGAAAGAATATCGGACAATCAGAACGAAAAATTAGTTCAATATTAATGACGCTGAAGTTACCAACGTTGATTCGACGAATCGACGAACGAATTTTTCGTTTTCAGATTAGTTTAAAGGCCAAGAACCAATTTTTTTTAATTGAAACTTCTTTATTTTGGTCCCGAATACATCTTTAAATACTAAAAATCCTCAATTAAGGCGGGGAAATATTCAATCTTAGGAAAAAGAAAATTCTTTTCGTCGATTCAACGTTGGTAACTTCAGTGTCATCAATATTATATATTTTCGAAATAATAATTTCAACTTTAAAAGTGTTGCATTAAAGTTGTATTTTACACCCAGAGAAAAGATTTCTTTGATTTAAAGAAACTAGTTTCTTTGACTATTGTTTTTTTCCATTCAAAATAAAATTTTCTTTGAAACAAAAAAGCTTCTTAGTTTCAAAGAAAATTTCTTTGATTCAAAAAAATTTTCTTTGAATGAAAGAAATTTGTGCATTAAATCGAAGAAATTCTAACATTGATATAGGGTCAAAGAAACATTTATTTGAATTAAATAACAAATTTCTTTGAAACGAAGATAATTTTTGTTTTAATCAAAGATAATTTGTTAATATATTAATAACATACCATTTTTATGTTATTTTATTCCTTCCAAGGATCAAATTTTTCTCAACTTTTTATTAAGAAAAATTTTCTTTGAATCAAAGAAAAAAATTTTCAAAAAAATATTTTTTCTCGAATTTAAAATTTACAATTGCTTCACAAAATAAAAAATATTTTTAAAATATTTCTTTTAGTTTTTATTAAAAAACAAATTATAAAAAAAAAATTTTTTTTAAGTAAACAATTTTATTATTTTCGTATTAAATATAAAATTAATTTCTAATCGTTGATCATAAACGTTGTGTGTACTTCAGCATCGTAAATAAATAATAAAAAATATCTTTATTCAAATGCAATATTTATTAGTGTTAAAAAAAAGAACACAGTTAAATCAAAGCAATTTATAAAAAAGAAAGTACGAACAATTTTATTTTTGTCTCATTAAAAATTACAATTGTAATAGAAAGATAAAAAATTTCAAAGTTTAAAAGAATCAAATTTATAGGTTATGTTTTACCGGAATCGCCTTTCTTTAATTTCATTAATTTTTTAATATTTAATAAGCCAAAAGTTCTGAACGAAATTATTTTTTTCAATCTATAAATTATTAAAAATTATGATGTCAATGTAAAATAAAACAATAAATTAAACAATTATTAAATTAATAACTTCTTTTTAGATGTTTAAAACAATATTTTAAAATTCGTAATTTAAGAAGTTACAAAAAAAAAAAAATTAGTTCATTATTGAACGTTCAAAATTTTTGGCTCATAATATTTAAATTAATATTAATTAATATGTCATAACAAAGTTAAGGAATTATTGACTAACTTTTAGTGTGCGTTTAATTTATTCTTTCTTTAAAAAAAATTATTCACACTATGAAAAAAGTTATAATAAAATTTTCAAAATATCCATAATTTTATTTTAAAAATATCAAAAATTTGAAGTTGAACTAATTTTTGTTTTGACTGACCGACTATAATTTATCCTTAATAAAATTTCGGCCAAAAGCATATGTAAATTATCTTTTTTTAAAAAGTATACTGCAAAAATTTATGTTAATTAATGTTTACAAATTCTGTAGTATTGAATTTAAATAGTTTCAATGTAATTGTAAACTTTTATTAAAAATAGATTGATAAATAACAATTACTTTCCCACTGTATATGAATAATCTATTTATAACAATATTATATTTTGTGCGGTTAACACAGAAAATTTACAAAGCTCAAGTACGCAACGTTTATGATAAACAATTTTTAAAGAAATAATTTTTTAAATTGAAAAAATTCTATAATTTTTTGCCTAAAAAATATTTCTTGTAGTTTTAATTAATCAACAAATTATAAATTTTTTAGGCTTCGTGAAAATTTTTAGATTCTTTGTTCAGTCAAAAAAAAAAAAAAAAAATATTCTAAAATATTTCAAATAATACTTTTTTCTTTACTTATATAGTAATTGAATAAAAAATAAGAAATGGAATTTTACATATTTTCGAAAATGTTGCAAATTATATCGATTTTTTTAAAGAGATAAATTTTGAATTGTTATTGAATCATATAAAATCGTAAAACATAAATGAAAAAAAAATTCACGAATTAAAAAAAAAAAAAGAAACTAAAGAACATGTCCTTCTAAAAATTATAATAACACAGTTACGCACCTTGTTAAAATGAGTTTGCAATAGACGTTCGTACTGATCAACAGCGCGTAAGCAGATCCTCGTGGTGAAGGCTTCCATGCGCGCAGGCAAAGGAGCATGACACACACTACTTGACATTTTCTATTATGTCAATGTTATTCACAATCAAGTCACTATAAAAGCTTGTGTATAAACAAACAATCATATATATACATGTACACGTGAAGCACACTGATTGATTGTCCACCCGGCGTTTCGTTGACAACCGGATAAGCCTATAACAACAGTTGCACTATAAAGGCAACTCTCTGCTCTTCTATATATTGTATATACGGTTAGACAAAAATGAGTTCACAGGCACATCATGTCATGCGCACATTTTCCCTTAGGCTAAGGGAGGGATGTGAGGGTGAATTTTATAAAGAGAATGAAAATTATCAAAGGCGGTAAATTAATTATGATAAAAATACTTTTTGTTAAATTTTCGAAATAAATTTTATAATTCAACGAAGGTGATGAAAAAAAAAAATCACACCAACTGTATAACAACTGAAGTTCTGAGTATACTGAACAGAAGAGAGAGAATAAACGTCATTTTATCGTTCCGCCACTCTCGTATCTCCCACTACCCGCATTTGCAAAGTGGTAGTGTATTCGAGTGTGCTATTAGAACCTGAAGCTACTCATTTTTTTTTTCTTTTTTAAATATTGCTTTAGGAAAGAGTTGCAGATTTAAGAGAGAGATTTTTTTTAGTTTGTTCTTTAGGCGACGCTAATAAGACTTAAAAAATGCAACAGACTTTGTTTTTTTTTTCTATTGACAGTGGCGGACCGAGGTACATTTTCTATTCGGGAAAAATACATTTTTGCTCCCCCCCCTCTTCTTTTATTTTAATGTTAAATACAATATAAAAAATTAATTGTGTATAGTAAAAGCACCAATTGCCGATGCTCGTAATTTTCATTTTCCGATGAATAGTAGAAAATTTAAAAACCAAAATAATTTGTAAATTAACCTTATATTTCCAATTACATATTTACCCCATTAAATTTCATATCGATGGCACTATAATAATTATTCTTTTATAATTATAATTCACTGCTGTCAAATTTACTCGATTCGCCCTTTTTTTAATTCTTCAAGTTGAATTTTAAAAATACAAATTAAATGTATTTCTAATTACTTTTTTCGTATTAAATTATTACTATAGAAGAACTGTATTAAGTTTTTATATAAATATATTTGTTAAAATAAATTTTTTATATTTTTTAAAAACAAATCATCGGTAACTGGTTCCATATTTTATCTCAGGTCCATTTTTCGAGGTATTGACTCGAAAGTTAGTGCATTCATAGTTTTTTAGCTGATGTACCATTTGTCGATGCTTCAAAGGAAAAAAAAATGCAAAATAAAGTTGGTTAAGTTTTTGTTTATTAAACGTCAGTGATGCAAAACTTTTATAGGTTAGTTATTGTTTGTATAAAATATAAACTTACAGTTAAATAAGTAAAATTGTTTCATGCCAATGTTCTATAATATTTTGATTTGAAAAATAAATATGTGACACGCTCCGAGGAAAGGTACACAAGAAGCAAAAAATTGTAGGTTATGTTTGTGATTTTTAAAGTAAAAATACACAAAGAGAATCAACTTTCAATATAAATTATTTCAATTAAAAGATGTTTTTTTCATTTTTGGCCTACCTAAATGGATTTTAGTTTATTGCAACAATTGACACATGACGCGTTTCGACACAGAATTCTGTGTCCTCATCAGATACATTTCTGCAAAGATAAATCTTTTTAGAATTTTTTCAAACGAAGATTAAAGCTCCTTTTTATGAAGAATACAGACCGACATTGTCACGTCTGTTTCATTTTAGTCAATATACATAATGAGTTTTTGTTATTTTATTTATAATAATTTTAGTCATAAAACTAAAAGCAATAAACTAAAAGCCATTTAGGCCAAAAATGAAAAAAAACATCTTTTAATTGAAATATATTGGCTTTAACCTAGAAATTTTAAATATAAATTATTGGTGTTTAAATCTTCATAACATTAAAAATATTCAATAAAAACTGATTTTACTTTACATAATAAAAAAATAAACTTTTAATTAAGGTAAAATTACGACAAACATAACCTTAAAATGATTTGCTTCTTAGGTACCTTTCCTCGGAGCGCGTCACATATTTATTCGATTTTGTAAACACTAATAAAGGTTAATTGATTTTAATTGTCAGGTTATATGTTATAAAAAAATTCAATACCATCGAGAATTGGAACCGAACATAGAGAATTGGTACACGACCATCGACAAATGGTGATTTTTGCTCAATTTACATTTAAAAACAATTTTTATCTTGCACTATAACTTATTTTAGAAAAATAAATAGGAATATTAAACATTATTAAATTCTTCGTTCAACTGCACAAAATTCAAAATTTTAAGTACATTTACTCCTGAGAAAAAAAATATCAAAGTCACCCAGATAGCACAACAATTTGTCACAATTTTGCAGCAAGTTGGCAATGCCAAATTGCAAGTTTGCATTGCCAACTTGCTGCAAAACTGTGGCAAAAAAGCTGAACGAGTTTTCCGCAGAATTTCAAAAAAAATTTGCTGAAAAATGACACGGAAAATTTTATGAAATTTGAAAATGCAATTTTTTGGAAAATAAAATTTTTAAGTTTCCTTGAAAGTTATTTTTTTAATTTCTGTACTATAAAAATAATTAAATCGTAGGAAAAGAAGGGAGTAAAAAGAAAACAATTTTTTTAGAAATAACGCATTAAAAAATTTATTTTTTTTTAATTTAAATTTAAGTTATATTACATAAAATTAAACAAACAATAAACAGATTATAATTCCCTAGGAGCTATGTGTTTCGTTTAATATTTATAATATAATTTAAACTTAAAATTAATAAAAGCCCGGCCGTTTGACCGCCCCTGTCTATTAACACATAATTGGCATTTTTGATGGATGGAAATTTTGCATTTTAATCATATAAATAAGTTTATATAATTATATGAAAAAAAAACTTTATTTTGGGCATGTGACTTATTTAAGTTACAAAAAAAATACGTCAATTCTGTGGAATTTAAATTTGACGTGACTTCCTAAAAATTTGATAAATAATCGTTAAGTGTATATACAATATTATGTCGTCGAAATTGAAGATAAAGTGTTTCCTCTTTCGTTCGCAGCATAAAAAAAGGAAAGAAAAAAAAATATTTCCAATGTCTTAAAAAGAAAATATTATTTTTCACATGAACTTACGTATTATTGTTCTTTTATACATATATCATATGTAATAAATGTATAACGACAATGCGTCAATGAATGTGAAAGTTATGAGAATTCTGTTTTATTACTTTGAAAAAAGTTGTTTATCAAGCGTTTAATAAAATACTTCACAAATTGTGTAAAAATAAAAAATGTTCAAAAATAAATTATTCTTTTAAACAAATATATATACGTAAAGAACATGTCATTGTTTACTTAAAATTTTGAAAGATTTAAACAATATAATAAATAATTAATAAATTTATTGGGAACAATTGACGCTACGCACAAAGAGTGGGGTTAGCATATTTATCTCCAATCAGAACATGTGTCTCCCCATACTTCTTACATTCGGCGCGCGCATCGAATACTGGAGTCAAAAACTAGTGTCGTTTTATAGCGTTTTGTCCTTTAATTATATTTTTACTTTATAAAATTTAAATTTATCACTCGGTAAAAATTTTTAATCAAATGGAAATATTAATTAATCACTCTAAATCGATCACATGGAAAGAAATTAATTTTAATTAATTAAAACTTTGTAGAAAAAAAAGCTTTTAATATGTTTTATGTACACTCGTGGCCAGATATACCATCTTTTTTGTCCTTGTCTTACACACGTGTTGCTATGACATTTGTCTGCTACACTTTTATATTTATATAAATTATATTTTCTTTATATTTATATTTTAGTTTTATTTTATTTTTATTTATTTATATTTCTATTATTATTTTTAGAAATAAGAAGTGTGTATGTCTTCACAGTAATATTTTAATTAATAAAAAAAAATCAGTAATTTTAAAAATAATACGTATACAGTGGAACCTCGATTATCCGAACCTCTATCATCAGAAATATAAATCATTTTATTCAAAATTTTAAAGTTCAAAATGCATTTAAAAAATTTGTTTCATATCATTTATCATACTTTTTGAAAAGGATGTGAATTATTTTTAAATTACACAAATTGATTTTTTTATGATGTAACTAATATCTTGTTTAAAATAATTATATGACTAATGACTTTTTAAAGCATTGTAAAATATTATATAATTATTTTTAATGATCTAAATCTAGTTATTTGTAAAATAACCTCGTCGTTTTATCGTTTGAAATAATTTTACATGGTATTCAATGTAATATAAGCCAAGTGAGTTGATAATTTAATTTCTCCGAAATAAATAGAAACTAATGACGTATACTATAACGTTGACGTAGTTCCGCACTTTCAAATACCGCGTAATCTATATTATTAACAATATTTAATGAAGCAAAATGTAGGTTAACGACTCTGCTAAGGGATCTAAATCGTTATTCAAAATATGATAATAAAGATATATAAATAAACGCCACATCCAAAATGTGTATTATGCAAATATTTATATATATACTTAAAATCGCATACATTTTTGTGTATTAAAAAAATTTAATAAACACAAGTAGGTCTTTCAAGTTTGCGTTGAGCAAGGGAGAAGTATACGAATGACGACAAGGAAAGAGCGGAAGACCCGTTAGAACGAATCAGGAAAAAATGCGATCGTGCACTTAGTACATATTGTATCGTTAAATAATATATATTACGATTTTTACGGGTTTTTTTTTTCTTCTTTTTTTTTTATTTTTAGATACTGTAAATATTATCTAATATACAGTAAATAGCTGGTATAAATAAATAAAAATTAATTGGTTAAAATACGAAAATTTTTGAATTTTTAAAAACAAAAATATACTCTCTAAATCTGAATTAGTAAATATGTTTACTAATTTGAATTATTAGTGACTCACTTTTTGCTTCTGAATTAGTGAAATTTTACTAATTATTAGTAATTTTTACTAACAATTAGTAAAATTTAACTAATTCTAAAGCAAAAAAGTGAGTCACTAATTTAAATAAGTAAACATTTTTACTAATTCAGATTTAGAGAGTAAGATTTTTTTCTTACCTGTACTTTAGAGATAAATATTTAGCACACTTTTTTTTCGAATCAAAATCTGCAAAATTACATAACCTCAAAATTTATAAAAAAAAACATTTTGGAGTTTTGAATTTTTAGAGATATAAGGAGTATAACGTTTTTAAGTAGAATCTATAGAGACCCTGCGGTAACAATAATTTATTATATTTTAGTGATGATCATCTTTTTGTGAATCATTAAAATTTTATCATATACATACATATAAGTATTCGATGATTCATAAAACGAGATTGATTAAAAGTTCGTATTCATTGAAGTATATCAAACAATATATATAATACATATATATTAAGAAATGTTACTTATTTA